TTAATTTTAGTAATGTATTTTTACTAACCACAATAGATCCAGAATACTATCATTTCAATATGTAATCTATGTAAAATTTATGAGATATTTTACATTTTTTACAACGAAGTCTTAAAATGCAGTCTTTTACACTTTTAACACATCTCAGCTTGGACGAGGCACATCCTAGCATTCGACAGCCACATGTGGCATGCAGCTACAATAATGGCAGCTGAGAACTAAAATAGGGCGAGAAGCAAGAACATTCTTCATCTTTGCCAGACAATGTAGTGTTCCACATAAATAAACAATCAAGAACTGACGCTTAACTTTCCAAGGGAAGTTTCTCCTTTTATTCATTATTGATCTTTTTAAAGCACAATATAAACAGTAATGCTTTTCAAACAAAGGATTACAAAAAACACTGATTCTTTGCTTGATAAAGATCCACCAGTATCATGGTTTATATTCTGGTGCAGTTAGCTTTGCTGTTTTCTTCCTACATACCTGTGCATTTCACCACCGCCACGCTAGAAACCACCAGATAAATTGAAAACTATCCTCCCAGAACTGCCCAGCTGTGGAGACGGCCATAAAATGGCAATTCTGGATTCCCCTGCTTTGGGGTCTGGCAGACCACCTCCTTAAAAGAGTGTGTGAGGGATCTTGTACTGAAAGAAGCCCATGCATTAAAATTCTTCAGTGTAGCCCCTGGGTGCCCATCTCCCCCCCACAAATCCCCATGCCAGCGACAGTCTCTTTCCCCCTACTGTTCTCACTTCATCTTTGTTTTCATTCTCTGCTCCTCCTTCAACTCTTTTCATCCTCTGTTCCCATTTCATCCAGAAGTTCCAACCAGAGAGCGAACACATGCTGCAGTTTGCCAGTCACAGTTTATCCCCTGTTGTCTCACTACGATTACTCACAGAGCCTCCTTGCCTGCTCAGAGCTGCCCCAGTTTGGACAATTACACAGTTACCCCGTTCTAATAATTTCTATCAATAAGGCCCAGCAAAGTTCAATGACCAATCCCTGCTCATACACGAAAGGCACAATTGGTACTTATGTTAAAATGGAACTTCACCTTAATTATCAGGAACGTTCCTTATTTCTGACACATTAGATCTTTCTCTTTAGTTACTCTGTTCCTTTTACAAGCTCTACTCCTGCTGGTTAGCCTGGAGTCCAAACTGTATCTTGAGTCTCTACTGTTAACAAAACAAAACAAAACAAAACAAAACAAATAACAAAAACGATCCACTTACTTGGAATCAACACCTTTCTGATTTGTAAAATTCTTGTCTTTGCTTCCTAATGCTTTTCAAGTTGTCTCATCACTCCCAGCTACTGGCCTCACCCTAGCAAAAACACTTACACTCCAAAAAGGCTTTAGAGTGAAACCTGGATTCACAGCCCTAATCTCACATGCTCCGGCAATAATAATAATACTTTCTTTTTTACGGAAACAGAACCATCTTTCGAGGTGAAACACTTCAGTCCATGCTGGTTTACGCCTGATAACTGTAGGACACACAAAGGAACAGAATGTAAGCAGCCTCAGTACCGCAGGGGTGGAGGGGTGAAGGTAGCTAGGACCGCGGCAACCACTTCTACCAGCTCCACTGCCCACCCCCCTGCAGCTTATTAGGCGCTAGTGGTCAGCAAACATGCCTTTGCTTAATCCTCACAATAACGTTAGCATGTTTTCTTCTTAAATCCCATTTTACTGCTGAGGGAAAACTCTCAGATCTGTCAACTGGTACCAAAGAACATAACAGCTTATAAGTGGCAGAGATGTGCTCTGACCCCATGTCAGCTTCATGAAATTTGTGCTTTCTGTAGATCCTATGCTGCCTCAGTAATCAATATTTAAGGACAGTGACAGCTGAGGACAGTGTTAAGAAGGAATCTTTTAATTTATGAATACAAAATATCTGACTCCATATCTCATTCTGCGTAGGAAACGTGTTCATACCCCCCTGAGCCAGGTGGTGACGAGGAGAAAGAATACTCACCACAGTTTACTTTTTTATGATTAGGATTCAGAAAGCCTGTCTCCTCGACCCTTCGAACCTCCTGATTTTGGTTTTGTGGTTGCTGTTTTATTTTTTAATTTTTCCTTTTCAGTCTTACCTACCTGTATCTAATCCTCCTCGTTACTGAATGATTTTAGGTTGCCAGTTATTTTCTCTCAGCAGTTTTAAGATACTGTTCTATTGTTTTCTGGCTTCTACTGTTCTTCTGGTAAACAGGCTATGGCGGCTTATAAATTACACCTAGTAGCTTAGCTGTCAATTCACTAAGCACTGGTCTGTTACTAAATCCGTCTCTCTCTGGCTGTTTCTGGATCTTCTCATTGTCTTCAGTGTTCTGCAGTTTTACTACAAAGAGTCCATGTGTGGATTTCTTTTTATTTTGTTTGGGATTTGCCAAACTTGCTGAGTTTGAGGATTTATGACATTAGTTCTGGAACATTCTTGGCCATTATCCCTTCAAGATGTTGCCTCTTCCTCATTCTCACTTCTACTTACTTCTGGAAATCTGATTACAAGTGTTGGATCCCCCACACCTCTTGCATATTTTTTTACACCTTTGTTTCTCTGTGGTACATTCTGTATAATTTACGCTGCTCAATCTTGCCATTCACTGAGCTCTTCTACTATGTCTAAACTCTTTGGCTACTTGTGCTATGTAATTTTCAAACTCACCACCTCTATTTTTCATTTCTAGAAATTCTCTCGTTTTTTAATTCAACACAATTAAATTTTAACAGTCTCTGTTAGCAATTTTAACAGTCTCTTGTTTTTTACTCATGTTACTAATAGATTCTTATTGTCCTTAACATTTCAAATATAACTGGTTTTAGTCTGTATATGAATAATGAAGCCCTAAGGGTGAAATTCTACTCTTGTTTCTTGCAGAAACAAGAAACAATGATTTGTTTCCTCATGTGTTGTCTAATTTTTTATTGGAAACTAATAATTATCTGATGTGTACCTGTGGGAATTTTGAGGGCTTTAGGTCATAAGCGTGTTTCACGATTAAAAATGTGTATACACCTCTGACAAACAGCCTGGGAAACTACTAATGGGAGGCCATTTTATTTTTTGGTTTGAGGTTTCTGAGACCACATAGGTGGAATATATTTGAATTCCCAACTCTTATGTAGGTAGGGCTGCGGTTACAAATTCTCTGAGGAAATCTCTCTTTCCTCTCCCCTGTCACCTCATAAATAAGGTCAGGGCAGACAAAATAACCTGACATTCCCTTGTGTTGGACAGATTTTCTTCATGCTTTCCCATTTCACTCATTACACAGACCTTCAAGAGTCCAAGCCATAGGAAGGGATCTCGGTTCCAACTCCCTGCTTTTAGAGACCCACAATCTGGTCTTCCACCCACTGTGTGACCGTTAACATTCTGGCATGGCTCTTAATCTAGATGATATCCAGATCATTAGATAAGTGCTAGAAGGAAACGGAGGCTTCAGAGCTAGCTTATCACCCTGGATTGCTGCCTGAACTTACCCTTTTTGTATGGGGAAATATCTGGAGATTTTGAACCAATCCGCTTATTTTAAATGGTGTTTATCATATTTGGTGAAGTATTTTGAGAGTCATCTGTCTTTCATTTCCAGAGAGGAAGAAAGAAACCAGAAAAGTCCTTTTTCTAACTTCACGTCCCTCATGGAATAAGAGCCTCAGGAACCCGCATACTTTCTGATACTACAGAAGAAGACATGACCATTAGTACCAGATTATGTAAATGAGATAAGGAACAGTCAGGATGAGGTAAAAGTAGTCATTCAGAAACTCGAATTAATACTGTGTCTCCTGCTGGCAGTGAATTAGTGAATTTAGGAGTCAGTTAAAAGGAGAAAGGAATTGGCTTAAAACGTAAACTGGTTTGGAAGAACTTCCAGACACTAAAAGTCACATTAGTGTGCTTTTGGTATACACACATACTGCTTATTTGTTTTGTAACAATGGGAAGAAAAAGAAATAATCCTTTTTGAGCATCTATTACACTCACGGTGAAAGGAACTTTACTCATGTTACTTCTTAGTCCTATGAATCACTGTACAGATGAAAACTGAGGGTGAGAGGTAGAAACTGGCCCAAAGACTGCACAGTCAATAGGCCGTGGAGCTAGGGTTCAAATCTGGGCATGCCTGTGCTATTTCCACACTGCTGACAGAGGCCTTGAATGACAAAATTCACTGAACTAATAAACAGAAGACTCAGGTCAAATAAGCCAATTTATTCTTAATTGAGTGTCAAAGTCAGGAGTTACTTAAAAGAAACGACTACCGTTCTATCCACAGTCAAGAATTAAGGGCAGCATTTCTGCTATTCCTGTTGCATGTCCAAAATTTTCAGAGAGTGCTCTTCTGAAAGAAGCTTAGGAGGCAAAGAGGTGATCTCCAACACCATACAGATTGTAGAGTCAGGTCAGAAGGTTAGGGTAGGGAATCGGGTGTATTTTAAAAGTAGTTTAAAATCAGAACAAGGGTTTTCCATAATACAGGGGCAAGGAGGGGAAGGTTCAAGGCAAATGGGAGACAAAGCTGGGAGGAAAAATTTCATTGTATAACATCATAATTTCTGGGTTTTGAGTCATGTGACTATATTACATATTCAAAAAAAAAAATTCTCAAAAACGAGTCTAAAATTCAACTTTAACCAAGTGTTCTAGCTAACCCATGTAACAAAAGAATGAAAGACTAATAATGAAAACTAAATAAGAAGTAAATAGAGTCCATTCACTTCCATAATGCTCATTCCTCACACGTATGAATGTTCTCTCAAAACCTGTCAGTATTCTAAGGTTAAGTCATTGCTTCATTCATTCATTCATTCATTCATTCATTCATTTAAAATCTTTACAGTGGCTGGACCAGGAGGCCGGTGAAAAATAAGAACAATATAGTGATTTATTTAAATCTATCTGTCGAAATCTAAGTAAAAAAAAAGTACGTGCGTGTTACACATCACTGCCAGGTTAGCACTTGGCACAACTTACCTTTAGGAAGAGCAGGTTTAACTGCCATTCTGCCAACCAGACATTCTTTCAGCATGGATTCATAATTGACCCAACGATGAACCTGGTGTGGGATGTAAATGACAGAGAAGCGACATGACTCTGACTCCTGAGATGCTCTAATTTTATTCAGAGCAAAACTAAACATACTTAGACTGCTCTGGAAAACTAAGCAGGTTCAATTAGCCAGTAAGGGAGTGACAGGAAGGCAGCGTACAATGTTCTCCAAGGGCCGTGTACAGACCTTTCAGATACCCATGAAGTCTCAACTAGTTTCATAATAATACTAAGATGTTATTTGTCTTTTTCAGCAGTGTTGACGCTTGCACTAATGTGGGAAAGGCAATGGTAGGTAAAACTGCTTGCATGCTGGCAAGTCAAGGCAGAGGTTTCAATCTTTATATTCTTCACCATCACATACCCATGGGGGCCAGAGGATTGGTTTCATTTAAGAATATGCTTTATGAAGTAGAAGAAATTATTACTTTTCTTAAGTCTCAATATCTGAGAGGAGGTCTTGCTTACATTCTGTGTAACAAAATGAGAAGTTCTCAAAAACACTTCTGCTGCAAAGTAAGATCCTCACCTTGAAGGAAAACACCCAGGCAATTTTTTGATTTGCAAACTGAACTGAGCTTTTGTCTCAGAAGACCATTTATATGTAAAAGAAAAAAAAATGACTGATAAACAAACTGGTTATTCAGACTTGGGTATCTGACAGACATTTTCTTGAAAACGAACAGACTGAGATTGTCACGTCAAGGAAAACAACTGCCATTATTTGTTGCCTGACTCATCAGTGGGAATTAAATTTAAACACCCTCTGGAGGACACCTTCTCAATATACATTAAAAGCCTAAAAATATGCAGCTCTTTCACTGAGTAATTTGTGAATTTACCTGAGAAAATATTCACATACACACGAAGATGCAAGTACCAGGATATTCATCACAGCACTATTTATATTAGCAAAATATTGGAAACAACCTAGATGTCGAATTGTAAAAGACCAGTAAAAGAAAACTAATAAATTATTCAATAAAATACTAGATAATCAGGAAAATAATCAGGTCAAATAATACTGATATGAGAATGCTTGTGTACACTCCTGAGTTAGTAAATATATACTAAAATAACAAATATGCAACATATGTATATAATTATAAGGGAGCCTCCATTTATGAATATAAATTAAAATTCCATATGCCAAATATTTATGGAGCATCCAATGACATGTAAAGCACTATCCCTGGGGCTAGAGCACTGGGTAGAATTTTGACAGATAAATGAAGAAGAAGGATATCCAAGGAGGCAAAAGTATGAGGTATCCCAATCATGGAATGGGTGATTGGCTCAAAGTACTTCCATTTGCTCAAAGCCAAATGCATGTTGAGGATATTTACTTTAATACAGTCTTTTGAAGGCCTCAAAGGCCATGATAATGACTTTTGATTTATCCCATTGTCAATGGTGAGCATCAGAGAGCTGTAGAACAAGGTGCTAAGATGACTGTCTTTAAGAACACTAATCTAGCTGTCATGTTATTTACATTGGTACTGGAAAGTAAAGGGATCTGTACAGTGTTACAATGGTAGGGCCAGAGAAGGTGATAATGACTTGATCTAAGGCAGTGGGAAGAGAGAAAAGAATGTAATGTTTAAAGACAGCATCATGGGATTTCGCTAGTGACCAGATAGTGGTACACAATGAGAAAAGGCAAAAATTACTTAAGTGGCTTCAGGTCCCCATTACCAGAAAGAGGAAAACAGAGGGGGAATAAAAGGGAAGTAGATGGGTTGATATTATTTGAGAGCAAAATGAGTTCAAGTGCCAACAGGTTATCAAATTGCCCATCAAGCATCTGAAAATACACAACAAGAGGTCAGAAACGGGATCTAAAGTAAAGACAGATCTGACAGAGAAAAGATTATTTAATATTCTTTGTGCAACTCAAATACTAGCCATGAATAAGTTCTCCAGTGTTTAAAGATATAAAAATCTTCACCACAGAATCTAGAATATAAAGTTGTTTATTTCTGTGGTAAGTGAAAGTCTTAAATAAACATCACTGGTCCTACGAAAGCCACGGGGAACGCAGCAATCTGGTAACTAACACACTGTTTAAACTGCTAAAGAATTTAACACTATAGCAGTTCTTGTGACTTCTCCGAAACAATTTTGCTTAAATAAGGTCCATATTAACTTCACAACACTGAGGAATATAAATAGGACTAGATTTTACTGAGGAATCTTCTTGTGGAAGAGTATATTCAGAATCAAGAGGTTACAGAATAGATATAAGAAAAAAGTATGGCAGACAATTTTTCACACAAATGCTTCCAAACTTTTCTATTTGGCTTGCATTGAGAGACAATAACAGCTACCAAATGATGATGAGAATTTGCCTTAAAACAGCAATAAAGGGGCACCTGGGTGGCTTAGTTGGTTAAGCATATGGCTCTCAGGTCATGATCTCGCAGTTTCATGAGTTGGAGCCGGCGTTGGGCTCTGCGCTGACAGTGTGGAGCCTGCTTGGGATTTTCTCTCTATCTATCTCTCCCTCCCTTGCTCATGCTGTCTCTCTGTCTCTTTCTCTCTTCTCCAACCCAGGAAGAACACTAATTGCAAATAGGATTCTGCTATTTAGGCAGATGCACATTAAGTACATTTAAATATGAAACAAACTATATTTCTGGCAACCTGGTCAAAAAATAAATCCTAAAATGGATGAAAAAGTAGAAGGAACAGAAATCAAATTATATTTGTTCAGAAGTCAACTCTAAAAATAACCCAATCTGACTCTGGTATCTGAAATGGTAAAATCCCAGTACTACAACGTGGATAATCATCACAAAATACAAAATAAAGTATATGTGAGACAAAAGCAAATTTCTGTTCTTCTCAAGATTGTTTCAAAATAACAGTTCACCTTATTGACGGCAAACATAACTCTATGTAACTTTAAAATAGTATAAGAGCCAATGTTTGTTTTTAGTCAATGTAAGGGGAAAGATGACTAATTTAAATAAACGTCTTTTGAAATATACATTCAGAATCTCTGCTATCACTCTAGGAAAAATAAGTTTTCTATTCATTAATCATCTGATTTTCTACATGATAAGCAGATTCAGTACAGCAAGATAGGCCAATTATATAACAATTCCCAAATGAGAAAAAACTAAGGGCAGAGAAGCTAAGTGGCTTGTTCTTTTTTCCAATTGTTACTGTCGTCCATAAGCCAATCGTCATCATAATCAAAATTAATAAAAACTGAGTAATCAGCTGCTAGCAGAGGAGACAGCAAGCACTTAAGAGGAGACTCCTGGATACAGATTTGAAACCATCTCTAAAATCATAGTAAAATAATTCAAAGGCAAATTAAACAGTTGTTATTCTCGAGCATCTTCCCAAATTTCAAAATTCAAGCCAATGCATATGAAATTTGTGCAACTATTTTTTTCTACAACTATCACACTGCTAAATCTAAGAGAACCCTCCTACTGTAATAGTACAATTAATTTCACCACCTTACCTGATCAAAAAGGTCAGTACCATCCGATCCTGCCGCTCTCATTAGTTCATCTTCTCCACCAGGATGATACTCCATATATGGAGTGACATTATAAACAAACCCTGTATCAAAACAAGAGGAAATAATATCATAAAAAAACTTCTTAAAAATTATACAAACTAGGGGCGCCTGGGTGGCGCAGTCGGTTAAGCGTCCGACTTCCTTGAGTCGATCGCCCGTCGTGGTTCGAGTCCCAGTCGAGCTCTGGCTGATGGCTCCAGAGCCTGGAGCCTGTTCCGATTCGTTGTCTCCCTCTCTCTGCCCCTCCCATTCATGCTCTATGTCTCTCTCTGTCCGAAAAATAAATAAACGTTGAAAAAAAAAAAAAAATTATACAAACTAGAAATGTAAGTTTCAATAAATCTTTTCAAATACATCCTTTTTAACAAATCATTATTATTTCTAAGTATTAAAAACATAAACAGTCAAAGATTTCACCATACTCGCAAGCTAACAAGTTAGCCTGCCAGTTTCATGGGTCCTCGGCAGAAAACATCAGACACAGAGGACAGTTTAGTACTCACATCACTAGCAGTAGCCACAATATCAGCATTTGCATGAGTTCCCTGAACCCCAATTCCTACAGACCTTTGGAAAGAGGGTCAGATCATACCTGTACACTCAATGTGCTGCATGACAAGAGGGGAAATTTGAGTTTAGGAAAGTCGAGTCTTTTATAACGAGCAGTAAGCACACGTGTCCTTCGTTCTGGAGGAAGACATTTTCTTTATTGTACCCAACAGTAGGCAAGTGGTCCTTTGCTCTAGAGTCACTAGCTCTACCTCCTGAGGTTGTTTACTATGCACACATCCTTGAAAAGACAGTCAATACTTCTGCTCATAAGATGTGCAAATATCTGAAAACCCTATAGAAAATTGCCTCCTAACACAAAGAAATAATCAAACACTGTTTATAATTTTTAAAAGCTCTCTCTCTCTAATATTTCTACTTCATCATCCTCTACTGCGCTGATAGGAGAATCTGATGAAAAAGAATCAAGGTCTCATCCATGTGTCTGATCATCTCAGTGAACGCCAAGCAATCAAGAGTGCCTGGGCCACTTAGGCATGCTCTGGGAAAGCAAGCACAATTCTTTTCTGCAAGGAACAAAGATTATTGTTTAGATCTTAATAAACCCTTTATCTTCCAGGGGTATTTATTTCATCTGTTCATACATTTAAATGTATGGTTATCATTTTTAAAAAAAAGAACAGGAAACAACAAAGGAGGAGTTGCTTTGTTCTCAAAGCAAGAAGGCTAGGAGTTGCTAGCCTTCTCAGAGAAATGAGTTGTTTTTTAGTCCTTTACTTGAAAACTACAGAGTAGATAAATCCAGCCCTGAAGACACCTCAAGGGTGCCATGAGAACCAGTGGTTTTCTTCTATCCAGGACATTTCCCTCTCTATGTTACGACTTCCATGAATTTAAATCACCTCAGATAACTTAAAATGTTCATCTACAGAATAATCTTGGGAGGAAAGAAGTGATTGGGTTTCAGACCCAAAAAGGCACTGTAGTTTTTCCACAAGTTTAATTTTAGAGAATAACCAACTAGGTAGATTTCTTTATAAAACTGCTTAAAAAGCAATTTAGGCAACAAAAAGAAGTAAATTCACAAAATCTTTCAGCAGTCCTCCAAATAAGTCTGAGGAGGAAAAAAAAAAAAAAAAAAAAAAAAAAAAAAAAAAAAAAGCAACTGGTGGAGTTTCCCCCTTCCTTCTTCCCTATCCATCTTCTCCACCAAATTTGGAAGGAATTTTTCCTATTGTTTAGTGCTTCGAAATCCATAGTCCACAAATGCCAGAGATAATGATTAGGATCAGAATTATTCCCAATTGATTTTTTAAAGACAGAATGCCTTCCAGACAAAAGAATCCCAAACTTCCCCTGTAACCAAACCTTGACTAGAGTTTCTCAAGAACATGAGACTTAGAACACACGATCACGCACCGTCTTTGATGGAATTTCATTACCTGTCAGTAACCAGCAGAAAGACAAACAGGCAGGCAGCCCTGCCAGCTATCCAGAATCAGCATAGAAAGCCTAAAACACCCCACACAAGTTCTCTTCAGCCTCCCGACCCTTTAGACTGACCTTCAGCCTCTCTCATCAACTCACTCTGGACGTGAACAACTCCCCATGCTCTTTAAAGGGACATGACCAGGAATGCCTAGACAATCCCTCACTATAAGGAATTGAGACTTAATGTCCCGGCCCAAGAAATGTTAGATCCAACCACACTTGGCTCATGATTTGTTAATTATGACATATAAACCTAGCTCCAAAAATGCAAATGATGTTTTTCGTCTGGTGCCGAGGCTCACTCTTCTCTCTTTTTCTTCCTCTATTTTATGTCCTTCCTTTTTCCTTTTCAAAAGCATTCCTGAAAACTAAAACTTGAATGTGGCAGACGAAAACAAATGCAAAGAACCGGACCTTATGCTCTCCTTCTGTGCTTCACTGTATTCTGTTTGTACTATATATGCTTTTTAAAAAACAAGCCTCTAGCTTCCTATATCCTTACTACCTGGTTTTTAGAAACTGACTTTGCAACCTTCTAAATTTTGCAACGACGCAACTTCTTCCTACAGCTTTAGTTGCTCAAGTATGGCAGATGTATACAACTGATTGCCTATTAAACAGATAGTATTTGGGGGCCCACAGACATAATCTCAACTTTATGCTAGGCTATTAATAAATTCTGCAAAACCTAAATCCTAATAATGACATTAAGAACAAAAATAGGCAGGAAGAGATTCATAAAACACCAATCCTGAATGGTACAAAATTGCTGTGACCAAGATCCTCTGGTTACAGTCCAATTGGTGCTTTTAGATCATCTACTTGGGTCACCTTCAGTTGCAGGGGAAGATTTAAGGAGAGTATCTATTGACTTTATTGATGAGTTGATCTATCCATCCACTCATCCACCCATCTACCCATCCATCCATCCATCCATCCATCCATCTTATCTATCCGTTCCCTGCTTTGTACTGCTTTTTTTTTTTTTCTGGATTTTGTTTTATAAATTCTGACCAGGGACAGATTGCCTAACTACTGTTAATAAAAGCAAGTTAATTTCACAATATATACACATACAAATCATAATGTTGTACATCATAAACTTAAGAAGTGCTATATGTCAATTATATCTCAATGTAAGGGAAAAAATATAGATAAAAAAGAACAACTTGTTAAAAATTAAAATTAAAATACAACAGGTTTATTAGGAACATATGCTCTAATGTTTAAATACATCACCTTTTAAATGCCCAAGCAATATTCAGGGGTACATTTTTAGCTAACTCATCCTAGCAGAGTTGCCGTGCAATTGAAAACATGCACTCAGAACAATGGCTACACTAAGTTTTTTAGGCAAGGTACTGGTAGTACCTGTGCCAATATTTTCGCAGTAAGCTATCTCTTTTGTGTTAATAGGTCTGGAACTCTGAGCTCTCAACTAAGTTCTTAGAATAACAATTACGCACTTTAAAATGACCAGTTAGTGCTTTGCATCCTCAGAAACTTACACTACTTGGGGTTCTCTCTCTCCCTCACTCTCTGCCCCTCTCCAGCTTATGCTTGCACACACACTCTCTCTCAAAATAAATAAATTTTAGAAACATAGAAATACTGCATAATACTTGGCATGTACGTGATAGGCAGTAAATAAATTTTTGTTGAATGAATACCATGTGGGGCTTTAGAGCTAAATCTATGTTTGAATTTTAAACAAAGATTAATTTTAAATCTGACTACAAAAATACCCCTTTTACTTACAGCGGTAGTTCTCAAATTTGGGGACTTAAAGATCTCTTCACTCTTTAAAAAATTGAGGACCCCCAAAGGAGCTTTTGTTTATGATGGTTATATCTATTGATGTTTTTACCTTTCATAAATGAAAATTAAGAAATTTAAAAAGGTAGCTCTTTCTGCCCACAGGTCCTGTCCCTGTTCTTTAATAAAACAACAAAAGATGGAAAGAGAAAAAGACAAAGAGAAAAAGAAAAGAAAGAAATTTAAAGAATATTTTTAAATTAAAAATAAAAACAATAAGCTCACTATATATTATCCCAAATAATAGGTATTTTTATGAAAAATAACTATATTTTCAAAAAAAAAAAAGCTAGAGAAGTGCCATTGTTTTAAATCTTGGCACATATCTTTAAAGCGTGGCTTAATAGTTGACACCTGTATTCTCATGTCACCTTCTGCACCTAATCTTATATACCTGTGAAAGAAGTATTTTTTTAAAAGGCAGATAACAGTATTACTACAAAGAATTTTTGGCCTTGGACCACCCACCAAAAGAGTTTTGAGCTCCCTCAGGAACCCCTGGATCTTGCTTTGAGACTCTCTGACATAAAATAGAACAAAGAAAAAATGACAAATTATTAGTGGGTGTGTGGCCTGAACCATGGGGATGCAGTTCACTCCTTACTGGTGAGCCTTTAGGGTTCACATATGGTTACATAACCTGAAAAAGTATGGGAGCCTCATCTGGGAGATAGATTAATAGGTATAAATGTCACTTGAGTCTTACACTGTGGTGTCTGCTATAGAGCTGGCACTGAGAATAAGTTGAGGTTTGCTGCAATCCAGTTGTGAGTTCACTTATCTGAGATACGTGATTCAGCTTCTGTAGGTGGGAAAAGGCTTTTTCTACCTATGGGAAGTTGGAGTGGTAACTGAAAAAGAGTGCTCTGAAACGAAGTTTCACACAATGTTGCCGAGAATGGAACACGTCTGGCAGTTCCTCAAAAGGTTAAAAATAGACTGTGTGTGATCCAGATTTATTCCTAGGTGGATACTCAAAAGAAAGAAAAATATATGCTCATGCAAAAACGTGCACATGAATGTTCATAGCAACATACTTCATAATAACTTAAATGTCAATGAGCTGATGAACAGATAAAGAAAGTGTATCATATCCATATGTGGAGTAATATTCAGCCAGAAAAAATACTGAAGTATTGACACATGCTACAACATGGATGAACCCTGAAAATAGTATACTAAGTGAAAGAAGGCAAACACAAAAGACCATACATTTCATGCTTTC